TTATTTATTTATTTACGCACATGGTGAAAAAATTAGTAATTAATACTACCCTTTATCCGATGTATTAGAAAAGCCGGAAATCTAATACACCTTTCTTCACACTTGCGTTCCATGGTGACCTGAGTTTACAACACTACAAACCGAGCAAAATTCACAGCAGTGAATCCTATCTTCCAGAATGATGAACAGAAGAAAATGGCTTTACAGGGACCTTGCGAGTAGGTTCATTCGCAGTTAAAACCAGTTTTTGTTGTAGTTACACATTTTATCAAACTAAACACACCCAGTAAACATGCTCTAAAAGAATATCGCTGCATTTTTTTGGATGAAACATACTGAGCAATTTGTGTGTCCATGTTACGGGTATAACCCGCGGAACCACTCGGTTGGCCACGTCAGATAAGGAACGAAATACCCGATCTTTCTACTGTATAGCTTTTTTGCCTTATTACGTTCTCACAATTTGGCCGGGAAGCCTGTTATTTTCACGCAGTACCAACTTCCTACCTCAGGTCTACCTAACAAGATATTGAATGTTGTTTCTACATGGTCTGGCGTCTGTAATGCAAACTCACGTTCCGAGCATCATCTTGTTAAATTGTGCACTGTGTTTGTTTTTGGATATAATGTTCAAACTAGTGTGTGTGGCAGAGCGAGAGAGAAATTTGTGCACAATATCAAACGACCAACCAATTACTGAGTTCTCTAGTCATTGGTTTGAATCTGATCTCAGCAGAGCGAGAGAGAAATTTGTGCACAATATCAAACGACCAACCAATTACTGAGTTCTCTAGTCATTGGTTTGAATAAGTCTGATCTCAGTGTAGTACGTCATAATTGCATGCGTTTCAGGAATATTTTCCCCGGATTTTTGCCAGTGCTCATTTGATGAGTTATAATCAGACCTTTATAGAATAAAATTAAATATTGAATATTCATCCGATATGAGATACCCGTGAAATGGCTCTTGATCAACAGTGTGTAGGTTGTAAGTTGTATGGACATGATTCATAGTTGAGTGGGACCCCGCACTGACGATGTCATCTCGATTAGTGATGAAACTCATGCAATCCAACTACGAACCTCGAGTAACGGACCAAAATTCAAGCAACGCTCCCAAGCTACCCATATTCCGCAACATCGCCAATCTCTGTAACCGGCAAAATGGTTTTTAGTGTAACTACAACTCCACACCCATAGGTACAGAAAACTAACGTCAATATGTATGTGATACTAGGAACATATTATATATATGTATATNATATGCATTTATATGGTCCTTTCGAATCTGAAGCTATTCCGTCAATTCCATCAATTGAGAACGGTACTTTTGAAGCAAACTTGATGATCTAGTGACCATGAAGTGAGTATGAACAGTAAATTGGTATTCCTCGTACTGTCTTTGTTTCGTCTAAAATTATGTGCTTTAGTGTGGCTTTAGTCTGGCGCCGAAATACGCCATAATTTTATTCCAGTTAGCTCGTGACGACAGTAACCTGTAACAACACGTGTTTCATGTCCACCGTCAGTGTGTCTTGTGTGACATACCAAGAGTAGCTGGAAACTAATAATTTCCGGTTACTCTTGAGCCGCACCTTTGATTTATCTTTGATTTACCCTACACACTTCAATAATGATTTAACGGAGGGTGACTCCAGTTCGATTTGCCCAACTTTCCGCTCTTATTTTGGGCTTTGTTTGGTACACAATGCTTAAAACCGTACCTGGCCACAATTTTTACGCACCTAGACTTGTCTCAATTCACGGGAATCTCCTGAAAGCACACTAGAATTGGGATCGGCAAATATAGGTTAAAATTGTGTTCTTTAGAATTTCACCCAACTACATTAGCTTGTAGTTACTTTCAATCAAGCTGCTCTTAGTAAGCTGATCGAAGCTGGATGCCTGTATCCTGAATGCAGCTAATTTTTCATAATGCCCTTTAATTCTAATTTGAATAAAAAGCAATTTAGGGTCAGCAATGCCTCGTCGGTGTCATTTGGGTTTGCCCGGTTGAACAAATCAGTGCCTCACTAAGCGAACTGCAGAGTACCAAATTAAGCATTCAGCTGTTTGAACGAGCAACAATCTCTACAGCATAAACGTGCAAGATTTACCCCATTGATATTTTGTAATACGTGATATTGATTCCGTCGCTTCAAGTATGATTTCATAATATTTAAGCACTAGCAGTAAAAATAAGGCCTTCGCTGCGGAGTCATTTTTTATAAAATGCCAACTGAACAGTTACAGACCAGTGAACAGGGAAGCAAAACTTCCATATGCATCTTGTTTACAAAAACGGAATATCCATCTTCCCCTTGAACGCGTCTTCCTAAACTTTCCTGGACATTCGTTGACTGTTGCTCAGTTTCAAGCAAATGCTACAGAGCGAGTCCAGAATGCCTTAATAGATCCCACTTTTCAAGCGACGCAAAGCGGATATACGAGAAAACGCTACTCACATGCCAATCCCATCAGTAGTATCACCGCAACACTTCTTCCTTTAAAGGTCGTTCGCATACTAACTATTTTGATTTACCTCCGTTAGGTCAGCTTTGGCAGCGGATCTGATCGGCCGCTCTTTGGGTGCATTATGCCACTAACGAAGTTGCGTCCCGTTTACTTTTTCCGATCCTTGACCATCTTGAATTGTATAGACGTCGGCGGCGGTCGGTAACGACAAACGCCTCTTGCCACTGACTAACTGATTCCGCGACCCCAGTTAACTCCTTCCAGTATTCTGATGAACCAATCAGGTAGTTATTATTCAAGAACGGATTAGCAAATTAACAAAAAGGAGGACAATTTTTGTCTTGATCGTCGCTAGTTAGAATGAAAATGGATTGTATTTAAAGCCCCGTCATTTGTAGATTACTTCGCTACTCAGTGAAGTTGTTTTTAAAACCCATCAATTTAGGGGAATCTTCTTGCCGCTAGCTTTCTCTCATCATTTATTTTGACATTGCAGTCAAAATTCTTTCTATGGTAGTGCCTATGGGCAATGGTCGAGCATTTCCACTTGCCGTTTTCTGCCTAGTATTTCACTGAACGGCAGTCAAGTTTTCTCGGGCTCTCTTTCGTCCTTCCTCTAGCTCCTCTGGAGACAAGCGTGTTGCCAGCCACAATCCAATTTCCTGATCACAAGGAAATTGCGGATGTCGATCTTACATCCGCATAAACGGGGACTTACCCGTGGTTGTCTGTATGGAAACACGATGAGCTAGCAATACCAAGTTTACTTTTCAGTCAACTCCTTTGGCCGCCAGCCACTCCTTGATATTTCGGTTAGGCCTTTGTTTGCGGGTGGTATGATGCCGTCCTTTGCAGTTTGATACCCAGCTTCTGCAGGCAACTCCTAAGCTCTTCGCTCTCGAAGCAAGGCCCCTTATCGGTTAGGATCACTTTTAACACCCCACGGTTGGCTATGATGTGATGCATTGCCACCCAGCTGATCGTCGTCGCCCGTTGAGTAGGCTCGGCTGCCTCCTCAAACCACCGCGACAGGTGTTCTGTCACTAACACGATGTATTGATTCCCACTGGTTGTCATCAGAAATGAACCCATGACGTCAACGGACCACAATCCGATTTTTGAGACATAAATGGGTTCCATGGGATGGGTTGTCCCTGTTGTGTTCCCTGTCATCAGTTGGCACCGCTTGCAGGACATCACATAATCCATCACCTCACTTCGCATCCCGGGCCAGTAGGCCCCGTGCCGAAGTATGCCGTACGTCTTGGTGCACCCTGTATGTGCAATCTCATGGCATTCGACAATAAGCTTCCGTCTCAAGACGCGAGGTATCAGGGGCAACACAACATCCGAATCGATGGTGTTCCAAGAAATTATGCATGCTTCACTCAGACTCAGCCGATCAAAGTGACTCTGGAACGTATCCAATTCCTTTCTTCCCTCTCCGTCCTCAATCCTCTCTCCTTGCAACAAGGCGGCTGCAACCTTTTGTAACACCGGATCCTGTCGTTGGAGTTGCACCAACCTTCCGGTATCCAGTTCGACGACGAGGCTATTGACCCCAATTGTGATCCCGGGGGCCTCATATTCAGCCTCTGGTCTTGATAGCCTGTCTGGCTATAGAACCTCTGTCAATACAAAGTCTGAGTAATTTTATCAGTAATATGAGCAGGCTTCACAAGTTACTCTAATCTAAAACAACTAAACTGCTGTTATTTGAGTTGTAAAAATTAAGGGTGGCTCTTAAATTTGTAAAATTTTCAATATTCATGAACAAACTTCAGGCATTTTGTTTTTAAACGTTACTACAATTAACCAACTCAATTCTTTTTCTAATCAGCTTCAGAATCCTGGCCTTCATTGAAAGACTGGTAGTCTTCCATGCAGACACCATGACAGAGTGTGACATCGGGTTTTTTGACACCAAATGCAATCGGCATGTCATCGATAATACGGCCTCTCAGATGTGGTAGGTCTACTAGTTTGTAACCACTTATTAGTACCAGAAAGCGTAGAGAGATCACTTTGGATAAGCGCTTGAATCTGTAGGGTAGCTCGTTAGGTTTGCAGTGAAACCCAGAGTGATGCTCCTTAGTGAGTTTGGTCACTCTTCTCACAATAGGAATTAACCTTGAATGTTCGTTCGGGAAGGTTAATAATAGCCATCTTAAATTATAGTCCGTGAGTATGCCCCGACTAATTTTTTCCAAAGATTACGTTTCCGATAAAATACTACTTTTCGTCGTTACTTTGCTGTACATTTTCAAAGCACATAGGAACTCATCAACAAAACGAGCATCCAAAACTTATTTGTGTTTGCTAAGGCGGAATGATGACAATTTCCCTTCGAGTCAGTTACAGCCTGATAGTACTGGGCAGTTGTGAGATGGAATTGGCGCACAGGTAAAACAAACAATGAAACTGGGAATTGGGGACCCGTATCGATAGATTGGCGAAACTAGCCGTAGATTCAAAAATGTAGGACTGAAACTTGCGGCACTAACACCAAATAAAATAGGTCCTGACAAAGCCACGGAACTAATTTTGCTTCATAACACTACGATAGCTGACTACTACCATAGAAAGAATTTTGACTGCATTGTCAAAATAAATGATAAGAGAAAGCTAGCGGCAAGAAGATTCCCCTAAATTGATGGGTTTTAAAAACAACTTCACTGAGTAGCGAAGTAATCTACAAATGACGGGGCTTTAAATACAATCCATTTTCATTCTAACTAGCGACGATCAAGATAAAAATTGTCCTCCTTTTTGTTAATTTGCTAATCCGTTCTTGAATAATAACTACTTGATTGGTTCATATTGCGTCCTACACTTTCTCTAAAACGTTTGACGTATAGCCTTCTGCAGGTTCTAAATTTTGATAAGTCCTTTAAAGTTAACGCTACATAGTAACCCAGCTATCTGAAATGCTTGATAAATACAGCATAAATCTATCCACTCATGTGCAGTTCACTTAGGAACAAGCGTATAGGCAAGCGATGTTATATTTCATCGGCATTAATACTGTAAAAAATTCAGTATCAATGCAAATTGTACCATACGATTTTAGTGGGAGAGCATCAGTGCCACGACTTGCGCAGGGTAAGAATATGGGCGTTGCGATTTGTGAACCGAAATTAAATCGGCGCGTGTACATTCCACTGTCCGATTCTACACATGATGTTTCCAATCCCAGGGTCCATGCCCGCAAAGAAAATTTGAAGTTCTCGTTCTGGTTATATATATACAATTTTTTTCCAAATCACTCAGACCCCTACAGCTTTTCATGCGTCCCCAGTAGCGGTTTATTTACGTTTGACATGAACGAATGAGTGGCTACAACAGTACAATAAACTTTTGCAAGCATATCTGACCATCCCCCAAAAAATCGTTACACATTTTCTTGCTGCGCGATCAGTAATCTTGTCAAGACACCTTCTTATTAAGGAGTAACGCCAGACCTGATTGTTTGGAATGGTGGTATTGTAGACAAACACATAGGTAAACAGATTTATCTCAATATCTTGGAACCAAAACATGCTCACTGGCTTTCGCAATTCTTCTCAATTTGTTCAGCGGCACACAGAGATAAACATCATTCTGTTTCGCGGTTGCAAAATCTGTTGTGAAAAAAAAACATTCCAGATGGACTACTGGGGAATTACT